CTTTGCACTCAGTCGTTCAGACACTCGTAGGACTTGTTCATTCACACGTAATTCTTCCGTAGCGGCTTGTTGTTCAACATTCTGTTAATCAGTCGTATCAGGTTGCTCAGTATCTAAAGAAACATTATTAGAATCGAAATTTTCATCATGAATTTTAACTGACTGACTTGGATTGTCAAAGCGAATTTGGTCCACATGTCTTCTGTGTACAGATAAACCATTCTTGGCAAGTAGTTGGAGTATTCTTCGACCTAAAGACTTTAGGACAATTCCTGAGGAGGGTCTTAGGTCATTATCACGGAAAAATACAACTTCAGAAGAATTATTGTACAATAAATTGGATCTCACATTTCGACCTTTTGAAAGTTTAGCAGGTGTCTGTTTAGTGGATGAATAAACAGAATTACGATATTGTAAAAGAAACAAATCGACACCTCTTTCAAGTTCAGAAAATGTGGATGAATTCAAAGCAGTGACAGTACTTTTAAGTGTTCTAACAAAATTCTCTGCTTGTCCATCAGAGCAAGGATGTTTGGGAGCAATAAACAAATGTTTGCAGCCAATGTTATTCAGCCATTCTGAAACACTTTTCGCGGAGAAGTGACTGCCATTATCAGTAACAAGTACAGCAGGAATACCTTCCCGACTGAAAACTTTACGCAAAGCATGAATAGTAAAATCTGATGAAGGTGACTCAGTGAAAAGTACCTCTGGCCACTTGGAGAAGGAATCAATGACAACAAGAGCATACATTCCATTCAGAAATGGACCACAATAATCCGCATGAACATGTTGCCACGCCTCAGTTGAAACAGGTCACGGAACCCACCTGGATGGCAACTGTCGAACTTTGTGGTAGCATTTANCCCAAGATGGCCGGAATGTAGGTCATGAAGTACAGCTTTACACAACGTCAGCGTAATCACAATTCTGTCATTCAAGCACAATAGTCCATCAGGCGTAATTGAAAGTTCATCACGCCTAGTGTAGTGATGTGGAAATCGTTTCCGGGTCTGGGCGTTCCAACCCTTCCGTAAAGCAGTCGTCACAGCAGAGAAATAACGACGTGTGTCACGAATAAGTTCTTG